CAATTATCTGTACATATACGAATGAAAATAATTGCGGTCTTGGTTTAATTACGTGGTCACGTGAAGTCTTTTTAATTGTTTACTCGATAGGACCCTCGTCGAGAAACTTACGGAAGCGCATCGCGAAACCCGTGTTGCACATTGGGAAGAAAAACAAGCAGTTCCATATTAAACTACACATGTGGCATAGCTATGGGCTCGATGCGGATGTTATCTTCGCAGAAATTGTGACACGCGATAGTACACTGGGTCTCATAGAAGTGACAATTTATGGCACGTATTCCTCGCGCTATGTATTCAGTGCACATAAAACTAACTTCTATAACTTTAATGTTCAGGCCAACGATGGAAAAAATGAATAATTTTTACACAGCAAAAACAAATACGAATTTCGGTGTTACAAAAGAGTCTAAGGTGGCAAAACTCAAGCAATCGTCTATTTTAAAACATAATTTCTTCTCCGGATATTTTAATATAATTAAAATATAAAGGAATTCTGATTGTAGAAATAAACTGAAACTTGACAAGCAGAACTTGTACTTCGGATGCCATCACGTGTAATTTAAATAGGATCAGCAAACAAAATTGAAAGTTTCTAACGAAATTCGGGTTTATACCCACTTTTTATACTTGGCGAGGCATGGCAAAGAGGTGAACTGCTGCGTAAAGAGCATGCTATCACTATTACGGCTGCGGACCGCACTGTCTGCGTTCTCGCCGATGGCCAAGGGTCAAGCTCCCCTGTTTCGCATTATTTGAATCGGAATCTAGCGCAGGCGCCCTTAACGCCGGTCAGTTTGCGTAAAAATTTCCTCCCCCGTAATCCCTTCTTAGAACTCAACGTACAGTGAGCAAACATTTGCAATTTTTAGCTCAGGAATAGAAGGACGTTTTTAAATGGCACGTAGATTTGAATATCCTTTTACGTATATCTTTATGCAATTAATCTTCGACGGAACTGTTTCGATTTTTGTACTAACACAGATGATCGGAGATTATACTTAGACATATTTTCGAGTACTTTGATAGATCGGCAGCTTACCAAAGTGGCACGCGCTGCCGGTAATTTGCGAATCTTAAATCGTTGACCATATCGAGGCAAATGGAAGCAATTCATCAGCATATTCGGGTCTTTTGGTGGTACCAAAATCAGTGATTCCTTTGTATTCGTTAATTTTGCTCTTGTATCGTGCAACATTTAAGACAGAATTGAGTTCTAAATCGGCAGAAAATGCATCCCTGCCATCAAAAAAAAAAGGTTAATGTTGTTACTTAAAGGACGTTTCTCTGTAGTTGCATCCTATCCAAGCTGCTAATTTCACGATCCATACTCAGTCCAACTTCAATTAATTAAACAAAGAATGTGTACTTGTAAAAATTTTCAATGTGTGAAATAGTCCAAGTACATACATACGTACATGTTACAATAAATACGAATTCTATTATTACTTTGAGAATGAAAAATTGTCAGGTACCCAGGTTTTGAGAAATCTTTCGTGACTTGTAAATCACGTCATTACGGATGATGTAGTTTCATTGAGGGGGGTTGTTTAAAAAATAAAAGGATGCCATCGCTATTATCTTCATCGGAAGACTCGCGTGTCCCTCTCCAGTGAAAAGCAATAGAATTGATTTAGAGTGCTCGCGGTACTTCGAAATTAGATTGCAGAAAAAGTTGCGTGATTGTTTCAACCTTCCCCGACATCAAATAATTCCATTACTTTCGACTGGCATTCTTCTTTTATTCAGGACACATTTATTGCTAATTCTGTCTGCCATTAAATTCTAATTTGCTTGCTTTCAAATGTCCATCGCGATAGGAAAACAGCGCAAGGAATGGTAGTACATTCGTCTCATTAGTAATTTACTGTACGCTCCATTACGAAGCATAAGTCGTCGTTAATTGTTCGTCAAACCTTGTAGAAATCGACGTTAAAACAATAGACTGAGTGTCATTATTAAAAACACGTCGATTAAACATAAAGAAATACAATCATTTCTCATACACAAAATTGTGAGACTATATTAAAACGAATGTCTCCGCAGGGGGTGAAATCTCGTGGGGTCACATTTACGCAATCAAGTAAAACCTTATATTAGTGGTGCGTACGTATTTTATTAATCATGATGGATCCAACCGACAAATTACGAGTTATTTTATACGTACAAAAATCCAAGAATGGTGTTCATGGAATTTCGACGTCGAAACACCCTCGTCGTTGAACATACCGAGCGTTACTAAATGTGTTGAAACGCCACTTTACGTTGTTGTTGAACTCTTGATTATTGACAATCGATATCAAGCCTGCCATATTGCCTATGTTTAAATGACGACCGTGAACCAGGCTGCATTGTCTTTAGTTAGCAGTATAAAAGCGCAGCTTTTAAAGTTATACGTGAGACAAAGTTTGCCGAATTATATTAATTTCTTTAATAACGCGGAAGGATAATAATAATCTATGCCTGCCACAATATAAATTAAGAATAAATAAATTTAAAAAAAAGTCAGAAACATTATTATTATTATTATTATTATTCCTTTTTAAATTCGTTCGCTAATTTTCTCATTTAAAGAGTTGAGATTTTATCAGGTAATCTGCTGCTTATCAGGGAGTCTGCATTATTGATTTTCGCTGAGAAACTTAAAAAAAGTAATTTATTTCCTTGTTGATGCATCGATCTCGTTTAATGATCATCAGTATTTAATGTATACGATATGTTTTTCGTGTTGAAACTATGTACCGAATATCGATCGATTCAATTCAATGTCAAAGTCGCGTATTCTTGAAAGAATAAATATTCAGACTCCAGTCACGGTATTCTGTACCTCGCGTTTCTGCACTGGTGCTTATCAGAGTGGAAATGGAAATGCACAAATTAAACTTGAATCGATAAAAATGAACTACTTACTCAGAACGAATGCTTTTCACATGTTTCTGTTGACGCGTGTTCATCAGATAACATAAACAATCGTATTACAATTTTTAATAAGAAGGAATGATATTATACACTGACTAATCATTAAATGTGACGTCCTAGGAGTCATTCTATTTACTGGTTATCTTCACCACGAAGCAACAAATGCGACTATAGATCCGACGGTATTCCACAAAGAGCACACACTTCTTTCGTATTTCAACACGTTCGTATATTTATGATGTACATTTGGAGGTTTGAAAAATTCATAGAACAGTGATATGGAGGTAATGCGTGTGAGAGAAAGAGAGATGTTTACCTTCTTGGTAGCAGGGGTAGGGTGCTACCGAAAAGCCAAAGCTTCCTATCTTGGAGCCATTTGTCCATGCGAAAGCTTCTCACAGGAATCTCGTCTGTTCGGTGGAATATTCTTGGTACATCGTTGGGATCTTATGTTCGAATCTCGTCGGAGGTGCCGGCATTATTGCCACCGATCGTTTTACACTCGGAGGCGGTAGGTACGTTTCACCAGAGAATGAAACCGATTAGAATTAGGCTCTCTACCATTTGTTTGTCTACGTCACCGTCGCTGATCGATAGTCCGTACGAGTTACCGGATGAATCGCGAATAACTAAATGCCGAATCGTTTATAACATAAACGCTCCGACGTTGATGACGCGCGCTTTCGTCATTTCACTATTTGTGTTCCCATAGATACAGATCGAAAGTTTCAAGTTAAAATTTGCGCGTGGTAATTGTTACTCGGCCCCGTTTTACTATTATCTTATGGCATTCGATCTGTCACGATTATCTTCACACTAACGTTAGTTAAACCCTTTGAATTCTACTTTAAATTCAAGTGATGTAGCACTAAAAACTACAGATACACGAGTATTTAATTTAAACATAATTTAGTCCGGTACTTTCTAAAAGGATTTTTGGGCGTATTGACAGTCGAAAGGTACAGATAGTTCGTAATACTTTTATTTTACACAAAATTACATATTAGCGTTTGCACTTTACACAAATATACAGAACATGTACGAGTTAATTACATTCTGGTCCCTGCTCTTGCAAGAACGAAATCATTTTTGTAGAATAAATTCGTATATCTCTGTTTCAAG